AGATGAGCTCCTCCTCCAACTTTACAAAGCTTGGACGCACCTGATGCGAAGGCCCTTTTGGGTCATCGCCTCGGACGTTGTGTTTTCTCCCGTGTTTTACAAAGTTTCAGCTATCTCCCAACGCGTCGACCTTTTAGGTCAGTGCACCGGTGGTAGATGAGCTCCTCCTCCAACTTTACAAAGTTTGGACGCACCTGACACGAAGGCTCTTTTGGGTCATCGCCTTGGACGCTGCATTTCCTCCCATGCTTTACAAAGTTTCAGCCATCTCCCAATGCGTCGACCTTTTGGGTCAGCGCACCAGTGGCAGATGAAGTCCTCATCCAACTTTACAAAGCTTAGACGCACCTGACACGAAGAACCTTTTGGGTTATCGCCTCGGACGCCACGTTACCTCCCATGCTTTACAAAGTTTCAGCCATCTCCCAACGCGTCGGTCTGTGGGGTCAGTGCACCATATTCGCGAAGGTTCGATGCACCTTACGCGACGTTCCATTCCGGTTGACCGCCTCGTACGCTAGCACAATAACGAAACTTTGGCACGTCTGCCTGTTATCATAACCTCGATTGCGGCAACAGATCAACCCCCAAAACTCCCATGACTTGCGGTCCGGTCAGGAAAGCAAGTCCACGCATGATATAAATATTCATCCCCGGACTTGGAGGACCACTATTGCGCTCCGATTTTACACGCCTCGGATACCGAAGTGTCATCTCGCCTCCAAGGTCGAGGCCAAGTGGGCCCCGCGCAGCACCACATATTTCGACCTGGAAATGACCCTTCCGAAGCGTCGCCGAAGTGATATAGCGATTCCTACTACTGACCTGTCGAAGCATCTCACCTTCGAAGTCGAGATCAAGTGGACCCCGGTTAGAAGATCCGTCGCCAATTTGAGATTTGTCCTGAACCTAAGGCTTAAATTGATTTGACGTCTCCATGAGACTAGTTGATTTGACTTATCAACTTTATGTCAATTCAATTCAGAAGAAACAAACCGTCCGTCCACTCTACAAACGCGACTGATTGACGCCTATGAGCAGACGCTTTATATCGTCAAATGTATACACGCGTTCCACATCCAACAGTTCATACCACCTATAAATACCCAAGATTTGGCAAGAGGCAAAGGTAATGAAACTCATACTACATAGCACTCCATAGCAAGTTTATATATTTTCTCCTCCCCCTTTATTGTTGATTTGCATAGCCTATGGGTACTGTTCCGATCACTCAAACCTGACTTGACCGTCGGAGTGTATACGGCGGTCGCCACCCCCGCTGGTTCCGACCGTGTGTGCCTTACTATTCGCTGATTGTGTGCAGAGAGAAATACGTGGAGTAGCTTTCAGTTGGCCACATGGAAAAACCAATTTCCGGGGTCAACAGAAATAGTTTTCTAACTTTCAAAACCGCTGTAAAATAGGATCCCCAAGTAACACAAAACGTCAAAAATTCACTAAAATGACTATTATTCCCTTAATATGAATTAAGTAATAAAAAAATTAAGAAAATTCAAAACCCAATTTTAATTGCAACTGTCGGCAGCTCATTTACCTAACACAAACACCAAAATAGATTAGGATTCAATCTAACAATACTAAATAGATTGTGGAGTTAAAACTTCATTTTAAAGATTGTATATCTATTTCTACACTACCTGGAAGATTGAGGAGTTCAACCATAAATTTTTCCTAATATTTGTTTTAGTCAAATGTGTATTGCACGTTAAGTATTGTTAAAAAAATAAAAAAATAAAAAAATTGATATTGGATTAATATATATAGAGTTATATTGCACCTTTGTTTGATCCCCATTATTTATAAAATATATTTTTTCTCTCTTATTTTCAATCACATATTTTTTAATAAATAATATTATATGTAAATTCAAAATCTTTCTTTATTTTTTAATCTCGCGTTCTCTATCAATCTATTATTTCAAAATGTACCTTTAGAAGAAAAATATGGCTCAAACACACTCATAATTTTTCCTATGACAAAGTTTTTATTAGACGAGAACGCTCCTCTACATAATTTCTTTTGTGAGGTAATGAGTATCTCATTTGCCTAAACTATTTGTTGCTAAAGAAATTTTTTTTTTGAAGGTGCAATGTATAACTAAAAAGTGACCCCACAAAATTTCGAAATTTTTAGTTTTTTCAAAATTTAAGTTTGCTATTCCCCTTTTTGAGCATCGTGCAACTTTTCCTTGATGGCTCATTTTTTAAATCATTAATTAATTTCTCAATCTTCTCAAAATGTCTACAATATGTAAATTCTGTCAAAATCTAACCTCCATAATTGCTCAACTAGTTATGCCAGTGACAGCTAGTGGCCACAAATATCTTCTTTCCCTTTCCTAAGAATAAATGTGCAACTGCTTCTCCAGCAAGAGCTAATTTAAGAGTCGTAAAAGACTGCTGAAAAACATGAGTACAAGAGGAAGTAGCTCAACTAAATGAATAGGGAAATAAACTGAGAGAACTGCTAGTAGTTCCACTTGCAGAGAATAACTGATCCATGTTGCAAGAAGAAGACTAACGATGAAATGAATAGCCCTTAAGGATTCTGCCAATGCTACATACTGAACACTGTAGAAGCCACGAAGACCGACAGGGCCCTTTCCTTTCCCTTATTTTAAAATTAGAGGGAGTCGAAAGCGGGAGAAAAAGTAACCACTAGTAGGGATATGGATGGAGTCTCACTCAGTAAAGGGAGTTAAAGATTCCTAAGATCACGATAGAGTGTATTTGACTTTGGATTAAACACCAGTATTTAGTCACAGAACACATCTGTTCTTGTCTCTCAAATCTCAATCAACTACCAGTGTATGTTGTTTCAGAAAATTTACAATTTGTCTTTTGACCCACAATAGAAAATGTCCAACTCCGTCACTAAGTCCTGTACAAATGTTGATTCCATGATAGGAAAACAACCTTGAGCTGGTAAGAAGTTATTAATACATGTTGAATAAATTATGAGTATTAGTTAGCAATGTTCTGATAATTTGTTAGAAAGGGAAAAAAAATCATCAAAAAAGGATTTGATGAATAAAATGCACAAATTTTTCATGAATATTGTTTAAATAGTTGAAAACCTCATTCGTATGATGTTGAAATGGGTTGTGCAATATGTACATAACAATTTACTTAATAGTTTACTAACAGATAATGTGATAAAATTTAGTTGGATCAAAATCTTATCAATCAAATAAGTTTCCTACTTACATCTTGATATTTCATCAATAGAAAATGTCCAACTCCGTCACTAAGTCCTGTACAAATGTTGATTCCATGATAGGAAAACAACCTTGAGCTGGTAAGAAGTTATTAATACATGTTGAATAAATTATGAGTATTAGTTAGCAATGTTCTGATAATTTGTTAGAAAGGGAAAAAAAATCATCAAAAAAGGATTTGATGAATAAAATGCACAAATTTTTCATGAATATTGTTTAAATAGTTGAAAACCTCATTCGTATAATGTTGAAATGGGTTGTGCAATATGTACATAACAATTTACTTAATAGTTTACTAACAGATAATGTGATAAAATTTAGTTGGATCAAAATCTTATCAATCAAATAAGTTTCCTACTGACATCTTGATATAAAACATTTTGTAACTAGTCATGTATAAGAAGCATTTTTCATATTGAAATATATCATACATGAACACGAACATTAATTCATTTTAGAAGCAATGAATATAGTTTATTATTGAATTAGGTTACAAATCTTTCAAATACACTTTCTTATGAATGAATTTCAACCTTAGATTAATTAAATAATCATGAAAATAAAGAAGTGAACGTGAAATTGAAGAATTAATATACACCTAGATCAATTGAACAATAAAAAACTTATATGAACTTCATGATTAATTTCCACCATATATTATGAATAATCTGGAAAATATATCACAAAAAAAATTAAATATTTTGAATAAAATATAAATAAAAAATACTAATAGTATGAAACAAAATGCCGCTATTGAAAGTAATGATCGAAAAAGAGCTGCACTATATGTATAGGGATGGTTCACAGGATCGGTACAAGTGAGACACAGGAGGTGAGGTGGGTGATTCATTTTTGACCAAAAAAAAAAAAAAAAAGGCCCCATGGAGGGTCGGCACAGACCCTATGAAAGCAACTCCCTGTGTCTCATCGAAAAAGGCTATTCTCAACGAATTGATCGAAAAAGTAAGGATTATGCTATAAATACATTTTAGTGTCTATAAGAATATTCATATTGTGCAAGTAGAATAACATTATTAGAGCGTTGAAAAATAAATTTTTTAACCTTCTAATTTTGGAATTCCACATGTACACTATTGACGCTATTATGGAAAACATAATGTATATATAGAATTATCAAAAAAAAAAGTAATTACTCTTTACTTTCCTATTTGTTTCTGACGGGACTACTTACTTTGACCTCTTAACAATAATTAACAGAAATACTTTTCTTTCTGAATTCAACGCTCACAAGAATCAATCGATCAATCCTCATACCTGAAACCCTGATATCAATCTTCAATAAACCGTTTGACAACAAATTGAAGAGGTTCTTCTCTCGGATCCCTTTTCTTTTCTTTAATCTAATTACCAAATTTGATTAATTTATCGAATAACTTTTTGTGGCTATTTCTTGAATCTTTATTCTATTTTGTTTTCGCCGTTTATGTATTTTTATGTTTATTTGCTAATTATGTGATTATCGTTTTTTGGAGAGAACCCATTTGGAGAAAAGTATTTTGGGGGCAAATTAAGGCAGTCTTGATTTTATGGTAAATCGTTTCAAGATTAGTTTAAAGCTGTAATGAATATAGTCTTAATATTTTTGATGCTTTCTGCGTTTAGCTGAATTTTGATGTTTGACATGCATAATTGACAAGATTGGACGGTCCAATAAACGGAATTTTAGTTTCTTCAATGCTGGGAACATTGATCTGTTATTTGGGCCCGAAGGCTTTAGAAATGTAGAAGTTAGATTTGAATGTAATGCAATACAATGCTTGAATAATCTTGGAACATATTTAGGATGTGAGTCATAAGTGTTATGCAGGGAAGTTTCATTTATTAATTTTAGAAACAACATATAAATGAGGTCTAATTTTGTATAGTTTTCGGTTTCAATTATGCTATTTGTACAATCATGCTTGACAATAATGATTGACAATGTTGGTGTCATCAAAATTCGGGCCATTAATTTAAAAAACAGTTTTTGAAATGGATGAATACGATATTGTTAGGTGTGAGTTGTCAATGAAGATTGTTAAACTAAATTGAACGTATAGCATGATTCTGTTAATTTATTTCCTGACTATGCTAAATTTTTCAGGGAGCTGCTAATTCGATTCTTCAATAGTTGTTTTCATATGATTGAGGAGACGGGTGGTTTTGTGGTAGTTTCTGGTTTTTATTTGACTTGGCCAGTAGATGATAAGTATACTCGAATCAATGTTTCACGTATGGATTGAAATGTACCATTTAGAAAATACCTACCCAATCCTATACCTAAGCAATCCATGAAATAGTGATGCACAAGCATTACAAACATAACAAGATTGCATATATTATGCGTGTTACCTCTGGCCTCCATAAAAATTCACTTTAGTGCCATAAATTTCTGTGCTTTATACTTTGCTTTAAAATTATGACTGCTTATGGTCTATTAGCATGAAAATATTTCTTCAAAACTGGACATAAGGAATAACTTTCAGTTTACATGTCATTCTTCTCACACTCTCTTCAGCTGTGTTAGCATCTTGTAATATTTTTAGTTTTTCAGTGAGTTGGAGACTTTTTTGTTTATTTGGGAACGTTTATGTTGTTTAATTGAATGTGCATGAAATCGATCTAATGGATTCCAACTATTATTTGAGATGGATTGCCTTCTATGGAATTGACCAATCCAATATGTACTTGGATCCCTTATGTGACAAATCGAATTCTAGACTATTCTAGTGTCATTATATAAAACTTAAATTCTTTCATAAGAACTAAAATGATAACACGAAATAATTTTTTCCTTCAACTAGTAAATAAATTGTAATCTTATTATGTAGCTGCGAAAAATAAAGAAAATAATTCCAACATAACAACTGAATTAAAAATTTAAAGTTGTGTTTTTAAACACAAAATAATTTATTAAACCTAGCCTCATAGTCATCTCCACGTTAACTGCCTCGAACCATCAATTGCTTGAAAGGGAGAATTATCATAGAGTGAGATTTATAAAATCTCAATAAGTACGCCGTGAATTATTATTGTATATAACTTAAAGGAGCATAATAATTATAATCAATATAATGGAGACATAAGAATTTTACCGAATATAGGTGATAAGAATTCTTATGTGTAGCGCTACTAAACTCCGATTCCTTTAACATAGTCATAATCTTATCATAACATATGGCACCCGTAATAATTTTCTTGAAATTCATAACATAACAATAATTCAATATAGGCAGCATACTTACAGTAAAATTTGAAAGATTAGTAGAGAATTGATCCCTCTATAATTTCCACCTTGGCTTATGAACGTGTATATGTGTATATTATTTAGAGTGAGAAATATAATAGTGAGTGGTAGCATGTGAATGTGAATGTGAATGTGAATGAGGGGTTTAAATAAGACAAAATTAGACATGCATCTTTAAGGAAAAATTCATGATGGTGGAAATTGTTCCTTGAAATTTGTAAAATGAGCAAGAATCTCTCCCTCATTCCTATATTTATGCATTCACACTATACATTACCTTAGGTTTGGTCAATTAAGCATTAATCAAGAATTTTCTATGTAAGTGTTTGACCAAGGATTCAATCAAAAACATGTGGTAAGTTTGCTACAAGGTCCTAGAAGATGGATTAACCCTCAATTGAATCCCTAATTTTTCAATTTTGATAATTAGACCCAGAAATTCGGGTGCAGGTATTATACCTTACCTTAGCTTTTAGGTTATTGGTGATGCATTGTTAAATAAGCTTATCAAAATAGCTGTCAACCATATACTTATCTACTCTCACATGTAAATGGAAATACATGCTTAATTTTCCTTTCTTTGATATTTTTCTTTTTTCTGGGCTAGCACAAGGATTGGGAAGAAGGGAAAACTTTATTACAATTGAGGGAGAGAGGCAGTGAAAACATTTAGGAAATTGGAATGGAAAAAATTAAACACCAAACCAATGTAGCAAGAATTTCAATGAATGATTCCAGCCAAAGGTCGTTTATTTGCTATCCAAACCAGAGATTGGTGGTTGTTAGTCTACATCTCCTTAATGTTTATCTGGATTGCAGTTGGCGATTTCCCAGTTTTGACTTTTTTTATCTTTCCAGAAATGTTCAGCTTAGGGGGCTCTTTAATTCGACGTTGCAATCACTTTGTCTTGTTGTGCACTATGTTCTAAGACAATATGTGGGTTGGGAGAAAGGCCTTGATATCGAGCCAAAATGTTGCTGCACTCCTTGGAAAATATATAACTGCCTTCATCATTTGCACATCTTGTGTCAAGCAGAGAACTAAGGCTTCATTTTTGTACCCCTCAGGAAAAGTGTTCATTGCTATTTTTTTCCGCTAACTAATCGCATGGGAAATTCAAAATATATAATTTTTTCACTTCTCTTGCCTATTGTTGGCATTTCCTGTTGAGTTTTGGGCCTTTGTCACTGTTTATATCTCTCATTCATGATGTATAACTTGATCGTTGTACCTATAGATCCTTTTTGTTACTTCTTCAGTTGAACTGGATGATCATGTTCTAGGTAAATGAATTATACTGATCTCTCTCTCTATCTCTCTCCCTCTCATTTTTTTGGAGGTCGTCTTGGGATTTCTAAGAGAGAAATGAAAGGGAATAATGGCATAATGAGTCATTTCCATATCATCTCTGAATTGGGATATTGATGAAACGGGGACAGAAGATTTTTAGATCTTCTTCCATTCTATTCTTTTCTTTTCCAAAATCCCGTATGAACATTTGATTACAGATTAGTCAAATCTTATTTGTTTGTTTGTTTTCTAACGTCTTGTTATGTACAGTGCATTAACTGCAGGCTGCATTTCAGAATTGGAAGAAGGCCAACATGAGTTTGGCTTGTCTTGTATGCCATGGTGTAGAAAGTCCATCACATTCTTTCAGAAGTTACTCGGTATCAAGTTCAGACGAGGGACGATGTTCTGCGATTGCCAATTGCTTGACTTGGAAGACGACATTTCCACATCCTCGAGCTAACCCTCGGATTACACCATCCAAAGTGATGCCCCTACCCTCCGTCCCTAGTAATGTAGTCGCAGGATCCCCGCGTCTTGTCCGAAGCCGTGCTGTTAGACGGGACCTTGTGACAGACTGGAATTTTGATGAAGTTATGTTGGAGCGCTAGTCGAGAATTCGGGGGTAGGAAGAGATCAAAACAAGCACATCATTGTCATCTGCTGAACTCAAAAGATGGAGCTTTGAGTTCACTCTTTATTTTGGTTAGGTTATCGTGCATGGGTAGTGAGTGTATGAGCATTTGTAGAAATGTTAACTGAATATGAACCGAAACTGTAATCCTTAACTTGTTTGTGGCATGAGCATATTCATTAGCGTGTAAAAGTTACTTTTGAAAAAGTTGGTTAAGATAAGTTTCATTAATGGTAAGTAACTTAAAAAGTAGTCAAAATGCATGAAAAGACTAATACGCCCTCTACATTGTAAATATTTACCTTGTGGTTGTACTTGAACTTGGACATGACTGAATGATCCATTGGGCGATAAAAGGACTTTATGGTATAAATTTATGATGTCCAAATCTTTTGTTATTGGGCCCAATGAGGCCCTACAGACTTTCTAGCAACTGGTCCATATAATAGTTGAGTGGGAAATATCAGTAATTATTATCTTTGTCTTAATTATGTGGGCCCACACTTTTGGTTTTAATTCCGGGTGATAATGGCGTTTCTTCAGAGCCACAAATTCCTCTAGTTAAAAATCTTTGCAACAGTGTACTCGGGTCAAATCAATTGATAAGTGACTAATCGAGTTTAGAAAATAATGTGGGAAAATTATTTAATTTGTCATGTAGGTTAATATATATAAGGGGCATATGCAAAAATGTCAAATTTTAGATATGTCAATTCAAAAATGTCCACTTTTTATAATCGTTGCAAAAACGGCCAAATTTGATACCAAATTCACTATTTTACCCTCAATGAAAGAATAAATAATTTCATATTGCACATGTCAAATCACAATTAATGCTAGACATAGAAATATCAAGAACAACATTTAAAGTGTAGAGAAATATCATATTCGGAATAAAATATCATACTAAACATTTAATATGTCGAGAAAAACGTTTAAAAATGTCGAGAACATTTAATATTGTGATTTGATATGTACTTTTGAAATATAAACGGATTCAAGTTTGGAGAATGATATTTGAAATGTCGAGAACATCATTTTAATGGAGCTTCTTATGAAAGCTACTTAATAATACTCTCGTCCAAATAATTGCAAAAATGAATATTGAAAAATTTTATACATTTTTGCAAATGACTATGTCAAAATGGACTTTTTTTTTTTTAATTTCCTCTATATTTAATTAATTTTATATAAATGTTATTTTAAAGTTAAGTTCAAAATTAAAGTGATTTAATAAAGAATTAAGTAATTGGACTTAGAAAATCTAAATAAAGTGTGGGCCAGATTATATGTGTAGAGACCCAATTCCTTTAGAATTTTATTTCATGATGTGAGAAATACATATGAAAACTATATATATTTAAGGTTATGATCCTCAATTTATACGTAACTTCTCATTTTTTGTGTCATCTCATCAATACAATAATACAAGATAAAGTATATTGAAGATGAAGATAAAAAATCCACAATAAAAAATAGGCAATCTACAATCAAGAATTAAGAAGAAGGAGTTCAAGAATCAAAATTATGGATTAAGAAACAAAATCAAGATCAAGAACTCAAGAATCGAAATTATCAATATTCAAAATTCAAGATTTAGAATCAAGATCCGATATTAAAGAAACATTTCCAATGAATTAAAGTATGTTATGCACTTTATAATTTTGTTGGTGATTTGGCATGGATGATCTTGACAATAAAGTAATTAGCGTTTCAAGTTTTTGAGATTTAAAATTTCATAAAATTATAACAAGTATTATCAGAGCCAACTTTATACTAAACCATGAAGATTTAAGGAAGAATTTATGGTTGAAATTCATATATTGAATTTTGGAATATGCTAATTTAGTATATGAATTTTAACCATAAATTTCAAAATTCAGATTTTTTCAAGAAAGAATTTTAGGATAGAAAGTTATAATTTGAATTTTTCAATTTAAGATGTAAATTTTAACCCTAAAATTCAAAATTTCGATTTTTTATTTTTGATTTTTTTTTTTTTGGAAATTTTCAAAAAAGAAAAGAAAAGAATGAAGGACAGTCGGAGCGCTGCGATGCCGCGTTTGGGCACTGCAATGCTTGGGGAAACCAGTACCGCAATCAGCAACACCCAGGTTCGATCCGTAATTTATTTTATTATTTTATTTTTGTGAAAACAAAAGAAAGAAAAATAAAAATTAAAAGATTAAGGGACAAATCAATTTCAAATCTTAGTATTTAAAGTTTCTTTCAAATTATTAATATTCTAAAATAGAATAATTGAAGCAATTTGTTACCAAAGTAACATTTCTTGCATAAATTAATTTACTTAAAATATTAGGAAGGTTTTGTATACATAGTTCATACTGATATTCACTGGCCCACAAGAATGTCAATATTTGAATTATTTGTACATTTGTGGTAATAAATATGTGACAATTGTAAAGTTTTCTATTATGTGAATATTGAGTCGATCCAATGATAAATTTGATGTTTGATCGAATTTATTATCAATATTTGATTACTACACCAAGAATACTACTTACAATTGATATTTATGTCCAAAGACTAAATATCAATGTTATGCTTGATTTCTTGTTATGGGACACCATTATTTGAAATTATTAATTGTTTAATACAGACTTTCATGTAAACATGTTATTTAAGTTTAAGTTCTTTATTCTATTAATCCATCAACTTTTACAATATCTGTCTATATCAATTCAATTCCTATGCTTTGATCAAAATTAATAGCAGAAAAAAGAATGTTTGTATCGTTCTTAACGACATAAATCTAGAACTTGCATTAAGGGCTGATCAATCCACTACTTTTACGAAAAAGAGTTCTGCTAATAGAAAAAGGGGCCTTGGATAAAGTGGGATTTGTTTAAACCGCATAAGTCTTTATGATCATGAAGCATGAAATTTTAGCAATATTTAGGGCATTGTGTCCAATAAGGTAACTATTACCAAGGAATTTCTTAAAGAAATTGAAAAAAAAGGCTTTCCAATAGCTACAAGATTGAAGCTAGTACGCTTTCGCTAAACTTGATTTCACTAAAATATAAGGTTAAAGAAAATATAAGAGAGTACATCATGTATAAGTCTCATCTTGCTTCCAAATTAAGTGCATTAAAGGTTGAGTTGTTTGATGACTTGCTCATGCATTTAGTTTTCATTTCTCTTCTCGCACAATTCGATTAATTTAAGGTCAGTTACAGGTGTCAAAGGGGAAAATGGACTCTTGATGAGTTCATTTCATATTGTGTGCAAGAAGAAGAAAGTCTACAGCGAGAGAGAACTCGAAATACCAACTTTCAAGTACCTCTAAGGTCAAGTTAAAGAATAATGAAGTTGCATCTGGTTCAGTTCAAAAGAACCAGCAATCGCCTAAAAAGGGTAAATAATCTGACTGTACTAAATACCACACTTGGTATGTAAAAAATATAACTTCTCACTTTGATTTGTTTTGTAATTAATTTAGTTTGAATACGAAAACACATTTGGTGAATAAATTCCGATGTCACTATTTATATAAGTGTGTCTATACGAGGTTGCCTAAATTGCTAAAAGCTAATTGATGATGAAAGATTCATCTATGTGAGGCTATGGCAAATCAATTAAGCGGGGTGTTCTCAACTAAGATTTTAATGAATTTTAAAAGATTATAAATTCTTATGAATTTCATGGATTTGAATAGATTCTTACAAATTCCATAAGAATCTTATCAAATATAGTGAAATTTCAAAAGATATTGTTTTATTTATTTTTAAGCTTAAAATCCATCAAATCATTTAAAATTCTTCAATTAATGAAATTTTTATAAATCCACTAGATATTAAGGATGCAATTTTTTTTTTTAAATTTCATTAAAATCTCAGTTGGGGGCACCTATGTTTTAATGGATTTCATTAAAATCTCAACTGAAGACACATAAATTTAGAATGATTTTTAAAATTCATCACAATCTCAATTAAGACCCCCTAAAAGTTGAGGCTATAGGGACCTTTTAGGTTATCATTAAAAACTAGTTATTATTTGAATTTGAAAAAGACATTTGCAGCATAATCTTTTAGATAGAATTTGGTTTCTATTTCTACATTAGATAAATTTAGTTACTATTGTTCTATTGGATATAGTCAATTTGATCTTTCTTTTAATTCAAATATTGTGGGTACCAGTTCTTTATCCTGTTATGATAACATATATCTGCTCAATATGATTGTCTCTTATAAAGAAACATTGCATTTGAACTCGCGTGGTATTAAATGTAAATTAACTAACGACAATTTCGTTTCACTATGGCACAAGCGATTAGGTCATATCTCTCAAAAGAGAATGAAAAATCTTGTGTTAGAGGAAATTCTTGATCGTCTTATTTTTTTCAAATTTATGTGTTTACGTTAATTACATTAAGGGAAAATAAACAAATATAAGAAGATTAGGTACCAATAGGGCATCAGACGTCTTAGAACTGATTTATATGGATATATGTAGGCCATTTCTTTTGGCTTCTTGGAATGGTAACTGTAGTTTATTATGTTCTTAGACGATTTTTTTCTCACCATGACTATCTATAAGTCATCTATGAGAAATTTCAAACACTTGATATGTTCAAGGCATATAAGGCTGTGGTTGAAAATCAACTCAGCAAAAAAATAAAATACGTTAGATCTAGTCGTGGTGGTAAATACTATGACAAATATGATGGATCAAGAGAATAATGTCCAAAGCCTTTTGCTAAATTTTCTAGAGAATTGTGGATCGTCCCACAATACACCATGCCAAGGTCCTCTAGCATGAATGGTGTTACTGAAAGATTAAACAAAATATTTAAGGACATGGTAAGAAGCATGATCACTCATTTCAACTTACTAGAACCTCTCTAAGAAGAAGCACTAAAAGCTGCAACTTAAATTTTCAATAAGTTTAAAGTAAAACAACTGTTAAGGGGTTACAAATTTTTAAAAGATCTCACTATTATGTCAATTTTCGAAATGAAAAATGTCTGATTCCTTGAGGATATAGAGTTTTCAAGGGAGGGGGATAAGATTTTAAGGGTAAAAATATTGTCTTTGAGAAATGATATGTATATATCTCTTTTATTGCAATTGATAATGACTAGAATCAGGGGCAAATTCTTGCTCCAGATCTTGTTCAAGAAGCAATTTCGGATCAAGAAAATATTACAAAACTCTATACACAATCAAGAGATTGTTTTAGAAAAACAAATTCAACAACCTCAATAACAAATATCA